TCATGGCAAGTGACACAGTGTTACAATAAAATGCTATTAAGCAAATAATTATACAGATGATAGAAAGGTATGCCTGAAACTGTGAAGGTAGTATAAAATTAACTAAAATCTGAAGAGCTTTTTTTGATAGAAATGTTGAAGAAGAGTAGAATATATAAATGATTAAGAATATCACAAGGAACACAAAGGCTGGATAATTTTAAATATATAGATATAGATGTGACTATAGATACATAAATAGATATCTACTCTTCCATAAGAAATCTTTTTTAGAAAACTGGTATTCACTAAGCTCCCAAAACTACTTAATGAATGAGTAATTTAGTTCCTATAAATTAAAACTACTTGTTTCATAATTACTCCACTTGGAAAAAAATGTATTCTAAGAGAAAAATAACTTTGCTTAATTTTTATTTCAGAAGTACTTTTAATGACATATAATGGCAATGCATTAGATTTTACTTCTTAAAAAACTGAAGAGAAAAGTAGGAAATGATCATTGAGTTAACCTATTTTCATCTATATAAATAATGCTAATAATAACCTGCACTTAAATATAATTTTCATGTTTAGAAATGTTTTCATATACACAACTTTATTTGTTCCCCAAATTCTCCTATTGAATAAAACTGATTTTCATTTTTTTATATGTCCAAAATGAGTTTGGGAGAGTACAGCCCAAGCTAACACAGCTTATCCATGTAACAATCAAAACCAGAATACAGATTCTCTGACTACAAACCTAGTACTCAAGCCCCAAACCTTGGTTATGTTCCTAAGGCTCTGGGTCTAATTTTACATCTATGTGTAGATTCGTGAAGTAGCACCTTATTCTCTAATTAAGAGAATATAATGTTAACTCTCCCTTCCTTTTTAAGTGTTAGAGTCAGAAGACCCAGGAATACATTACAGCTAAAATATTTTCTTTCTCAAAAGTTTAATATAGATTTTGCCTCAGTGACATTTGTTTGCTTCTTATTAAAAGTGTAACGAAATCACTGCAAGTCTATTATAAATTTACCAGCTTGGCAGGACGATGTCCTCTGAGATCACAATTCACCTATACTCCTGTCTCATTTTTGGTTATTCGGCCTAATTAAATCTGTAGATAAGATTGAGTTTCAAAGTGAAGACATGGCAGGTTAAGATTCTTCACTGACAGGAGGATCCTTTTACCCCCCCTTCCTGTCTAGTTCTTGTCACCAGTTTTGGAAGATAACAAAAGGAACAGTGAACTTGCTAAAAACAAAATGAAGTACTTAGCTTAGTATGAAAACTCATTCTAGGGAAGAAAATTTCTAGAAAAATATATTTCCAATGGGAAAAAATGGTATCAATGGTTAGAGGTCTAGTCTAGGTCAATATCTACATATATATAAATATGTACATATATATAATTTTATTAAAGAACTTCATAAGTGTATAAAACAAAATTCTGCAAGAAAGTAATATGAAGAAAGTTTGTAGAAATAATTTTTATCTTTGTCTTTTGTCATATGTAGACCAAAATTTTGGTAAACTCAGGTTGAAACTGAGATGGTAAACAGAATGGCTGCTATCATGAAATAAAGCAGTAGTATTCTGACTTCAGGAACAAATACTAGTCTAGTTAGCTGTCACTGGTTCTTCCCTTCATACCCAGAATTTAACTGACATGAATGAAATGCATTGTCACATCATATGGTGAATTAGAGGGTACAAGTTTAGGAGCTTCCTGATGAATAAGTTCATTAGAGAGTAACATTTACAAAGGTGTATTTCATGGCCTGATACATATTTAAAATATATATACTTTCCTCTATGTGTTCATACACAGCCTTAGATGAAAGAAAAACCTTGGGAAATCCTGATGTAAAGTAACATTTTTTAACCCAATAGTTTCCAAATTCATTTCAGCATAGAAATTAACTTGCTTTTTTCTTTGGCTGTATTTCGTTTGTTTTATTTTTTACAATACACTTAGGTTAAAATTAACACACTGGTCAAGGACAAGATAATCTTTTCAGTTCTCAAATATTCACCAAGCAATTATTCTATGTTGATGTAGGAAGACTTAGTTTTAAGGGTGTAAATGCTTTTTATGGTGTGTGATAGTATCCCTAGAGATAATGTTTACAATATGGCCAATCAAAGCTCTCATTTCTGTTGCACTATTAATGTCTATGTTCCCCAGATCAGGAGGAGACCCCCTGGGCCTAAGTTATAGCATGTAAGAATAGCAGAGCAAACAACAAGTTTCTGGGAAATAAATAAGTCCCTTTGCAGATTCTATTGTATGTAGCAGAAGGGAGAACATTTTATTTTATTTATTATTTATTTATTTATTTTATTCTTTTTTTTTTTTTTTTTTTGAGACAGAGCCTCAATCTGTCGCCTTGGGTGGAGTGCAACGGCATCACAGCTCACAGCAACCTCCAACTCCTGGCTTAAGCAATTCTCTTGCCTCAGCCTCCCAAGTAGCTGGGACTACAAGCTCCTGCCACAATGCCTGGCTATTTTTTGGTTGTAGTTGTCATTGTTGTTTGGCAGGCCAGGTCTGGATTTGAACCTGCCAGCTCTGGTGTATGTGGCTGGTGCCTTAGCTGGTTGAGCTACAGGCGCCGAGCCTAGGGAGCACATTTTAAACTGTCATATCCACTGTACAGGCAGGGCATGCACTGTTTATCTTAAAAAACAAGCCACAGCAGAAACTAGATAAAGCAATAAGGAATCCAGAAAAAAAAAATCTGGCTTAAATTTGAAAACCATTTGAAGATGGTAAGAACAATACAAAGTGAATTAATAAAGTACATTTAATTTCTGTATTTCAAGCTAAAATACTTAAAACTGGGATACAGATGTTGCTCTTCATGTTGCATAAAAGGTGCATTATGTATAATTACTGACTGAATTATTTACAATAAAAGTACTGCTCCTGGGAGCTTTATATTTGTCATGTAAATATGGACTTCTTTGAAATTTATAAATACTGTGTTTCAAGATATTAAGGAAATGAATGGCAATAAAAAAGTTTAAGAATTATAAAGATGTAGTTCTCCCCAAATTTGTCTGTTTGATGTAATTAAAAGCAAATTACTTTTGGAATATCATTGAAACTTGATAAAAAGTTATTATAATTTTTTCTAGGAGTATAACTAGATAAGAAATAAATGCTTTATAGACACTGACTAGAAAGAAATAGACAAAGAAAACAAAAGTGTGCGAATTAAACTCAATGGCACTAGCACAAGACCTGAAATGTAGATGTATAGAACAGAATATATAGATCTAAATGTTGAATAAGACATATTACAAAATGAAATAGCAACAGAATGATTATTATTATTCAACAAAAGATGAAAAAGTGGATAGTTAAATGCAAGGGAAATCAAATTAGATTATCATTATATAACAAAAAAGCAAAATATAAATGAGTTAAAGAAGTAAATGAAAATCTTGGCTAACTACCTATGACTTTCTCCTCATTACAAAAAAAGCAGAAGAAAAGAAATATAAATGAATTTTCAATTGATTTTACAGCATGGAAAGACATTGAAAGTGTAGAATTAACAGAAGAAATTTTAAATTGCTCATGTATTTAATGGATAAGTAAAATTAAGTGTAAGAAGACAAATATAAAATTATTTGGCATTAAGGCAGTTTTTACTTTTTTGCTATCATAAACAATGCAACATAAAATATATTTGTGCACACAATAACCATATAGTGATTATTTCTTTACGAGATCTCATGAAAATTGGCATTACTGAGTCAAAAGGATAACAATTTCAAAGTTTCTATGTATATTACACAAATTACTTCCTAGAAACTGTGAAGTAATTTTTATTCCCAATTTTATGAAAGGAACATTAGCATTGGTAGTTTCATTTAAACAAACAAAAAAAACAATAACACTCACAATTAAAGAATGATAAAGAAAATTTAGAAGGACATTGTTTAAATCAACATCTTTTTAATTATTCATTATACTGAACATATTTTCAACGACTCTTTGACCATCTTTACTTCCTCTTTAATGAACTATTGTTCATACTGCTTTTAGTGGATTACAAAGAAGCAGAAAACGAAGATTTTGAAGTGAGACACGAGGAGGTTCAGTTCTGTCATTAAGCAACTGATTTTTCTGACTTGCTCTCTTTCTTAATTGAATGAGAATAATAACAATATCTATTCCATGGAGGCATTGTATTAAATGATGTGAATTAGTGAGATTTAGGATGCTAATATAAATGATTATAGTAAATATGAAAGAATTTCATATGAGTCATTAACTCATTTTTATTGAGGTATCAGTAGTGGTTACTGATTTCAATTAGTATTTTTGTATTAATTATGTTAAGATAATTCACATTTTATCACATATACCATGGCAAGTATTTTTTTTGTAATTTAGGAAGATTATTATTTTAAGCAAATTCATAAAGTTTGAGCTTTAGATTTTTAAGCAACTTTATTATTTCTTAGATTTTTTCCTATTCATCAATATGCTGGTAGGATGGTTAACAATATAGAAGAAAAAGATATAACACCCTGCAATAAATTTGCAAGGTATCAGTAGCTTCGCCAAGCACACTTAGTTTTTGTAAGTAATCAGCAGATTTAACATGTTAGTTATTTATAATTTTTTGAAATCTTCCTTGACTCACACAACTATATATTAAATGGTATGATATTCAACCATTCAACATTTCAAAGGTAAAATACTTGGCAAGTTTTACTTTTGCGCTATGGAATTAAAAACAATACAAATGTAAGGAATACATATATATATATACATATACATATATATAACATATTTTCACATACACATATGTAAAGTTATAATATCCATGTTTTTTTATCAACTTGCTGGCTAAAAATTGTTGCAACATCTTAAAATTATATTTTAACTTGTATTAAATATTTATTAAGATGACAGACATATACTTCATCATCTCTGAAATGCTGAAGTGCAACAACATATAGAACAACAGAATATAAGATAGAATTCCTTCCTGTACCTTGCATTTGATTCACAGTACTCAATCGGAAGGCAGATGTCTCTTCCATAAAACTATCCCAGCAATGGTCAATAACAAGATGTCTGGGACGGTGTTGACCTAATTAAAAAGTAAAGAGGTATTACACTTCACTGTCACATTGAAGAAGACAAACAGCAGTGGAGATGGAAATAGAATCAAAATTATCTTCTAATGGCAAACATTTAAGATGAATATATTTTAAAGTGTATTTTAAAATGAGATTTAAGTTGCATTTTTTGAAGGCTATGTCGTACATTAAGAATAATTTCAATAATTAATTAATAATAACATTAATGATATTTTATATTAGAAATTATAAAATCAACATGTAAATTCTTGAAATGTTAATTTAAACTACTCAAATAACAGATATCATTGTGAGCCTGTTTGAGCTGAGCCTACTGTTTAAAAATAGATTATGGCTCGGAGCCTGTGGCTCAAGCGGCTAAGGCGCCAGCCACATACACCTAAGGTGGCGGGTTTGAATCCCCAGCCCGGGCCCGCCAAACAACAATGATGGCTGCAACCAAAAAATGGCCGGGCGTTGTGGTGGGCGCCTGTAGTCCCAGTTACTTGGGAGGCTGAGGCAGGAGACTCGCTTGAGCCCAGGAGTTGGAGGTTGCTATGAGCGTTATGCCATGGCACTCTACCCAGGGGGATAGCTTGAGGCTCCGTCTCAAAAAAAAAAAAATGGATTATAGTACTTAATACAATTGGCCTTCCATATTCCTGGGTTCCACATCTGTGGATTGAACCAATGGAGGATTAAAAATATTCAAAGAGAAGAATGATGGTTTTTGTTTGTACTAAACATGTATAGACATTTTTTATCATTATTCCCTAAATAATACAAAATAACAACTACTTATATAACGTACACTATATAAGGCATTATAATCAATCTAGGGATTATTTCAAGTATACAGGAGGATATTGGTAAGTCATACGCAAATACTACATCATTTTGTATAAGGTACTTGAGCATCTGTAAATTTTGGTATTCATGGCTGGTCCTGGAACTGATACCAAAGGCAACTGTATATACGTATGAATGAATATACAGCATTTATGCAATGTTAACAATAAGTTTAAATAAACTGAGTATGAACATATATTAATTCTCTATAAAAACAGATAAGCTCTGTTGACTTTAGATATAAGTTGATAGTGCTACATGCTTATGTTTTATAAGCATATATACATACTTTAAAGAGAATGCTGAAAAATATTTACTAATACAAGGGTGTGATAAAAAGAAAAGAAATGTCTTGAGACCACATGTAAAAAGTAGTGTTTCTAAAGCCTTCTGACCACCTTCATGGGAATAGCTTGTGATGCTAGAGCCTAACCCCAGGTCTAATGAATCAGCATAACTGAATGTGGAGCTGGAAATCTGAATTTTGATAAGATATCGATTACAACTTTCTGAGCTTTGGGAGTTACTAATCAATAATCAGGTAAAAAAAATTCCAAATATTAAGATATATAGACGGTATCTAAAAAGAAAATAATTGTAAGCAAGTAGAGTCTCAGATCATTTCCTTGAAAAATGGTTATGATTATTTTTACATCTATTTTTTTCTTGGAAAAAAAAGGTTAACCATTTTTTATGAGCAAAATAGACTGAGATAAGTAATCTAACTAAACTAAGGTATAAACAAATTATAAACATATCTCATATTTCAACTTACCTGTGCCAAAATCTCAAGTTTCCCAGTACCATTCATTTATTAACTCAAATGTTTAAAAAGTTGAATGTCTGAGTTTGGGAAAGATTTTAAGGTAGTAGGAACTTTTTTACAATGATTTATCTCTTATCTTACGTATGAAGTCATGCTCACACTGATTGGCAATTTGCAATGATTGTTACATATTTAACACAAATATTTACTCAAGTCTTGATGTGCTTTAAATAAAATTCAGAGGACTTCCGGGGACAAGATTTTCATAAACAAATTCTACCATGTGAAATGAAATGCATTTGCTATTTCCTCTCCACATCCCATGTGACTAACTTATCACATTTCTACCTTTGGACAGGCAGAGGAAAGATAAAACATATGTGAATGTAGATAAATTGGTAGGTAGTGGAAGGGCTTGGGAATTGAGAGCAGTGATGTTTATACTTTCATCTGTTGAGTAAAAGAAATGTAATAGGGAATTTGAAGAGTGGAGTGATGGTTTGAAATAGCTGCTGGAAGGAACGGAAAATAGACCTGACAGAATTCAAATATGAAAGGTGTTTTGTTTGGTTGGAATTGGAAACCATAAATTTCAAAAGGCACCAAAAAAATACATGTTTGTGAAGTTTGTACCAATGGTGGGGGCTCAGAATTTCTGGTGTGAGAGAGCACACAGGCCCATCAATGGATCATTCCAGGGAATGGATTTGCAGTGCAAGTGCAACCAAATGACTTCAAAAATATGAGAGTGTCAATAAAAAAAAAAAAATAAAAATAAAAATTGTGAAAAAAAATATATGCGAGTGATATAAATACATTCAGGTCAAGAATTTAACATTGAGAATAATTTGTGAAATAATTTTTGGGGGCTTCTGAAATTTCTAAAATTGGTCTAAAATTCTTTCTGCTATGTGGCAGGGAAAAATAGTAAGCTTGACTATGGAAGTATGTCATCTTCTGCAATGTAAAACAATCTCTTAAGTAAACTCCCTCTCTGGGGTAAATGTTCAGGCTCTAAGTTTCTGCCATTTCTTCCTTCAGCCAGAGGTGGTGGGGGCAAAGGAAAATCAGGGAGCTCTAATATCTCTCTTTCTCTGTCTCCTTATCCTATGTGGAAAAGATCCATAAGCCTCTCCTCACTTTTGTGGATTCTTTTTCTAGATATTATCTATATATCTACTTGGGCTCATATTCCTTGGTGACTAAGCCTCATAATTTGCCCTGAATTGTTAAAAGTCTATAGGGATATATGACTGGTGAGAAGACTAAACATATCTAACATGTATACAAAATACACTCATTACAAAAGGAGGTACTAAATTAATACCTTCTGGAAATAATACAGAATTCAAAGAATCCCCATAGAGTAATTAATAGCAAGACTCCCATCGGCAAGTGTTTAGTTTCTGGTATGAGTGATCTCACAGCACTGGGGAGTCTCTCTCTCTCTCTCTCTCTGTCCCTCCCTCTCTCTCCTGCACTTGCCAAGCCTGGATGTCTTCATCTTCAGGGGAATATTATTGGAACTTGCACACAGATTTATTTAAATATTTTTCATACTTATTGTAATGAATATTTGTCCTGACCACATTTGTGAGATCTTTGCGGTCAGGGTTTATGTATTAGTCACTCATATAGCAAATAACACAGAACAGCCTTCAGTGCTTGTCTGTTGAATGACTGGATCACAAAATAGTAAAAACTCTAAACTTAGAGATAATACAGGATACAAATAAGTTGTTAAGGATCCTTTAAATACCAAAGGAGAGAGGTGATAAAACTAGTAATAGCCAAGATATCAACAGGAGAAAAGAAATTGGAGAATTAGGACATCCAGAAATTTGATAATGGGTTTAAAATTCTAAAAATGCTGCCCTCTTAGAAAAATAGTGAATTTTGAACTATATGTATATACAGTGTATTTTATATATCTATGAAAGAGAAAGAGAAGAAAAGAAAAGGAGGAAATGGCATGGGAGAGGTGGGGAGGGTAGGAAAGAGGTTGGAAGGGGAGGGTAGGAGAAGGAAATGAAGTGCACATATATGCCAAAAAGGATATATGAAAACATTCCTGATGAATTACAATGGTATAATCATTCTGGAGAGAGAGGTGTTCATTTATATTACATATAAAAAGCATTAACCTATGTCTAACATTAGCCTCACAATTGTGCTGGTAGTAATTATAGTAGAAGTAGTAGTAGTTGAAAAGACCGACTGGTAATGTCCAATATTACATGTGTTTCAGGAAACTCGTGATGAGTTTAATTTTTCTTTCACTCATATTATTTGTTCATTTAATACAAAGTTATCAAATTCTTTAATATAACTTAAAAACATATTATGAAAAAAAGACAAGTCTGGTTGGAGCCAAAATATAATCAAAATATGCCATCTCTTTATTTTTAAAAGATGGAAAACAAACAAAATCATAATACCATCATTTCTATAAACTTTTGAGGAATAAGCATTGGCATATTAAGTACTATCATAATCATGTTACAACTATACTCATTTGTGTATTTGTGTTTACATATAGAGTTGGAAGAATTTGACTTGGTATACAGATGTCTAATTCTGGCCCCAACATTCCTGAGCTGTGATTTTAGCCAAGATACTTCATTTGTCAAAACTTACATGTTTGTTTTCTTTTATAAAATGATGTCTTTGAGCTAATGGATCTCTAAATTGCCCACTAGTTCAAAAGTATTTCTATTCTATAATAAATAAGTTTAATTAGTATCTATAAAATAATATGTAAAATGTAAGAAAAAACATACTTGTTAGTACAACGTCGACGAAAACATTTTCCTTGGTAGGATTTTTGAAAGGTAAAATAATAGATGAATGAAGCTCAATAGATGCAGTTATTCTTTCTGTTTTTAGAGGTTTAGGGAACAGTCCTACTCCAGAGAGGTAGAATTTCCATTCTTTAAACTGTTGGAAGATAAACATTTATGACATACGTGTCCTAAATCCATACATTTTATTTATAATACTTAAGGAATGCAATGCACATAAAAATTTTGACAAGGAAAGTTTAATTTTTACCATTATGTATGTCTGATTTTTCCTTTTTTCTAAATTCCTTTCTATTTTAATGAAAAATCATTCTATATAGTATTTTTACATTGAAACAGAAGAAAGTGAAAGACCAATATTCAGATATCAAACTTACCTTAATACATATAAGGTTATTTATAGCAACATGAAAGAGAAACTTTAATGAAAAAACTTGTACTTCTGTTCAAAAAAAAATTTTTTTTGACAGAGTCTCACTCTGTCACCCTCAGTAGAGTGCCGTAGTGTCATAGCTCACAGCAATCTCAAACTCTTGGGCTCAAGCACTTCTCTTGCCTCAGCCTCCTGAGTAGCTGGGACTACAGGCGCCCATCACAATGGCTGGCTAATTTTAGAGATGGGGTCTCGCTCTGGCTCAGGTTGGTCTCCAACAGGTGAGCTCAGGCAATCCACCCGCCTCAGCCTCCCAGAGTATTAAGATTACCAGTATGAACTACTGTGCCTGGCCTCTGTTTAAAAATATTTTTAAATTAATTTGTCTAATAAACTAGGTAATAAACACTGCATGTAGCTTCCAAACTTTAAGGTGAATTTCAAATTAAATTCATGTAGCTGCCAGATGAAGGCAAAGAATGTGAAATACACATTGAAGTAGCATTAAGAGGAAATGTGTCCAACTGTGTACTGTATTATCTATCCCCATTGTCTAGTTCATTTTCTGTTGTCACATAATATGGGGGAAAGGCTCAAAATTATGTGACAGAAATTGAATGTGGCTGCTGTTTTCCCTTGGGTTTCATAAGCCTGTAAATCTCTGCTTCAAAATGTTTTCTTTGTATTCAACTAGAATAAAAGATCCTTGAGAGTAAGACAGACTGTGACTCAGTTCTAGGTATTGTAAAATTACACAACAAATACTTTCTAATGTTGCAGATGAATAAAGATGTCATTGACAAAAACCAACAATGGCCTAGGATATAATGTTGCAAACTACACAGATGTTTCCAAGCTTAAAGTCTAGTGCAAAGAAGGAAATGTGCTTTTAGATTGTTTTAAATTAAGAGAAGTTAAAAAAAATATTGTGTCTTAATAGGGAAGATTAAAGGCAAATTTTATATGAATATTATCATCAAGAGACTATTATTATTAGTCAAAGATTTTACTAGCACAATACAAATTCATTACATTTCAGTTATGATGTCTTAACTTGACTTCACGTAACTGACTGAAGTCAATCATCTAGGGTCAATAAACTTAACAACTGGTTTAAGTAAATTATTTACTATTTGCCTATTTTATAAAATAAATCTTAGATGAGAGAAATCAGTGACTTTAAGCCATTAGGTATTGTCCAAATGACAAAAAAACGAAGGTTGTATTTTCATGTTTCCTCAAGTGACCTGAAATATTGGAATTTCTATGTTAAACCAAATTCCACCATTATTGAAAACAGATATCCAGCAGTTGTCCTAGCATCAATTAATCTAGCCTCTTGGGTTCAGAGAGGAAAATTAAAAAGTAACCCAGGGAACATGCGCGTTACAAAAATAAGTTACATTTTCAGCTCATATTTATCTCAAACTTTTTCTAAAGGAGAGATATTGAAACTTTTTAAGATCCAATTGCAGTGTTTTTGGAAGGCAAAAGTAGTAGATATATAAGATGGGAAATCTGGCTTGCACACTGAGCAGAACTCCAGAGAATTAGTTTTGCTGACAACACAACTTCCCATAGACACAGACCGCAAGGATCACAGACTCATGCCATGTTACAAAACCACTCTGATTTTGGATCTTCTTTTTCTTTATTGCCATCCTGATCTTTAGATGAAAGCGGTCACATAATCAAGTGTAAATAAATGAAATAAACAAGGCAACTGTTGGAAAATCAAGATGAAACATCTAAAACTGAGAATGAAAATCTCAGAACATCATGTTTGAGAACAAAGAGAAGTTCTACTCATCACATTTGCTATGTATTACTGCTACTCCTGTTATGCAGGGACATAATATCATTTAGAGACTCTGATTGCATAATATGAGCTCAAGGTATTTATAGCTATGAAATCCTAACCATGTTAATCACAGGATTCAAAATCTGCACAAACAAGTTGGGCCTCAAGTTAGATTTTTCTCTCTCTCTCTCTAATTTTTTTTTTTTTTTTTACAGTAGAGAGCTTTTCACACTGATTAAACCAGAAACAAATGAAGTAGATAATAAACCATAGTGGTTTCCTTCAGTTCAACAAAAGGTACAGTCAGAAATAGTAAAGTGTATCCCATAAACATCAGCATTAGGTTTTTTTTTAGATTAATTAGCTACTCAGTTGCGTGAGTCAGTTCAGTTGGATTTAATCAGTTCAATCAAGAGAGCGAAAGAAATCTATATGGGTTTTTCCCTAATGGTAAAAAGTTATTCCAAACTTTCAGAAAAATAAATTCTAAAGCCCTATTTTTAAGAAGCTCTTCTTTAGATGTCTACTCATACATACTGCATACTGTATTTTCAGAAGTTCATTCAATTAGTAGTTTATGATGAAGCAGTTTTGCTTGCAAAAGATGTCAGTGGGATGAATTAAATAAAAAAGAAAGACCTGAATGATTCAGGGATTTTAAAAAAGGGAAAGAAAAAATCACAAAGGTTAGAGCAATACATTGAAAAGGCTGAAGGGGTCTGGAGCTGGCAGGTTAAAGGATGAATTACTGATTGAAGCATGATCATAGATGAAATCTTAGAAATTTGCTACAAGTCAGAAAGAGATTGAGTGATTGAAATCAACCAATAGTGTTCTCCAATTGATTCACACAAGGTTTGAACTGATTATTTACCTATTTGAATTATTTTATGTTTGATAATGAGTTCATTGTTCAACTTGTTGCCTAAGATTTTTTAAAGCTATTAAAAATAGCTTAAAAGATGCAGAATTGATTGTCACTCTACTGACTTGCAAGACTATCTTTGTTTAGATACACTTTCCATCAGAAATTTAAACAATTACTTATCCCGAATAATTAAGATGAGGGATCCTAATCCTGCTATCAAGCAATCACTAACATTATTTGTCTATCAGAAAGTAGTCTCCATTATGCATTTCCTTCTGTATGGGAAGGATTACTGTTGTCTCCTTCGATATTTTTGAAATCAAGTATACTTCCATAGTATTTGTTTCTGGTAATGTGTAAGTCAGTAATTATAGTACTTAGAAGATTTAATAGCTTCAAAACAAATTTGTAAAAAATAAATTACAATTTCTTTTTGGAAAAGAGAACACTTCAGTCGCCCACAGACCGTGCACTGACATGGAGACCTTTTTACTCTATTTGATTCTATTGTCTCTCCAATGTCAGGGTTTTCTGAGCTCCTTGATGTCTTCTAAGATATAAAGTATGTCCCTTCATTTATGTTCCTCCTTGTCAACATTTGAAGAATAAAAATAATAAATGTAAACCATTATGTAAAATTTTCATTGGCAGTAGAAGAGTTACAATCACTCGACAAAATATAGGTAACTTCAAAAAATGGCTGTGATGACCAGTTTAAGCCAGATGTTTTGGGTTTAGGTCTCAGCTCAACCTTTTACCAACTCCTGATATTAATTATAGGGATCTGCATCTCAGATCCCTGATTTATAAAAGAGAACAAATAACAATACTTCTTTTATTAAACTGTGGTGAGAATAAATTGAGATAATTCTTTGAATGACATGTAGCACATTTAGAGATACTCGAAAATGATTAACTGTTGTTTTACAAATTATTATTATTCAGGAACACTGTGCAGATAAAATGGAGTAGAAAAAAGAACATTATATTGGTAATATTTTACTCTTTACATTTTTATATTTAAGTTTATGGAAAGTTGAGCTGTAAGACTTAACTCAGAAAATTAACAATAATGACAGTGATATGACATTTACATGAAAAATCTATGATTTATATCTGGATATATATTATATGACATTTAAGTAATCTATCAATTTAAAAATATTTTCTTTATATGTCTGCACATACATAATGTTTATTGTATTTTCAAAAGTTCCTAGTCCAGGCACAGTGGTTGATGCCTGTAATCCTAGTACTCTGGGAAACTGAGGCAGGAGGATTGCTTGAGCTCACAAGTTTGAGATCAACCTCAGGTGGTCTCAAAACCTAGATCCTAGTTCTACTAAAAATAGAAAAATTAGCAGAGTATTTTGGCAGGCACCTATAGTCCCAGCTACTCAGAGGGCTGAGGCAAGAGGATCACTTGAGCCCAGGAGTTTGAGGTTGCTGTGACAGAGGCTGAGGCCACTGCACTCTAGCCTGGGCAACAGAAGTGAGACTCTGTCTTTAAAAAAAAAAATGTTCATTTAATTAATTGTTTATAATGAACTCATTTATTTGCAAAAAGTTGTTAACTGGATGAATGAATTAATTTATTTATATCTTGATTTTAAAATGTAATTAACTTGACTTAGTCCAAGAATACTATATCATACCTGAGAGCATTGGAAGTTGATACACGCTTGTTGATCAGCTCTTCCAAGCATCGAAGGATAAAAGCGAATAGTTAACTCTTTGGTGGAATGAGGAGTTATAATTAGCTGTAAAAATTCAGGAAAAAGCAAAAGAGAAACAAAAATTAACACTTGTGTTTGAGTTGGCATCTTTGTGTTCTGGGTATATTGAGGTTGATGTTTGTGTGACGTGTTATCTCGTACACCTTATGCCTGTTCCTCAAATACTGGTAAAAGGGTCTGTGGTACATAGTGTTTAGTGGTGCTCATGCCACATTCTTATCCAAGATGGTCACCAATATGTAAGTACTCACTATGTAAAAGACAGTCAGGATTAATTTTTAAAGCTGAATTAGACCCCCAAATAAAAGAAATATGCATTTTATTTAAAAGACCACAGCATGTTGTCTATCCCATGGTACATCTGACACCACCAAGAACCTAAGTGGCCTTGGCAGTGTCTAAAGAAATGAACTACTACAAATCCATAGTGATCAAAACAGCATGGTACTGGCACAAAAATAGAGAGGTAGATGTATGGAACAGAATAGAGAGCCAACAGATGAATC